TTTCTGATTTCATTTTTTCCAGATCCCCTTTTGTTGCCAGTTCAGTGGGTCCAGGTGGTTGACTATCAGAGTGTTCCATCTCATTTCCCTTTGGAGTTGCTGTAGGTGATCTGGAAGTCTGGTTTTGAGACTTATTTATGTGTTTTCTCATTTTGACTGGGGCAGGGAGCTGTTAGCGCCTGCACGGATTATCTCCTCCGAGCTGGGTGAGGTGGGACAGGGGCCGGGAGCAGTGGTAGGGCTGGTGACCCAAAAGCCCTTTCCTGTGGGCTGGGAGCAGCCAGAAGGATGGTGGCCAGGAAACCCCCTTCCTCTGGACCAGGAGCAGTGGGATGATGGCTCAGAAGCCCCTCCCTCTGGGCCAGGAGCAGCGGGACAGAAGGTGGCCCAAAAGCCCTTTCCTCTGGGCTGGGAGCAGCGGGAGAGACAGTGACTGGGAAGCCCCTTCCTCTGGACCAGGAGCAGTGGGACGACGGCTCAGAAGACCCTACCTCTGGGCCGGGAACAGTGGGACTCAGTACCTTGGTCTGGTGGTCTGGTGTCCTCTGCGTCTTTGTAGTATGGAATCAGGTGGCTGCCTGTCTGCAGTGGGGTGATTCGGAGTCTTCCGCGCGACTCAGGACCTCGTTAGGGCGTGCACAGACCTGCCTGTCTGCAGGGGGCTGATTCAGCGTGTTCTGTGTGACACAGGACCTCGGTAGGGCATGAGGAGACCTGCCCGTCTGCAGCGGGGTGATTCAGTGTCTCAATTCTTATTGTTTTGTCATCTCCATTAACTAGTTGCTGTTTCTGTAATTTGTTATAAGAGGATATCCCCACCCTTTGAAATGTATACAAATTTTATGCTGGCAGCCATGCCCACTCTTATCCCACCTGCATACTTACAGAAAAATAATTTAGTGTAACGGTTGTCTTTACTTTTGTCTTCAGGTATACTCATTAAAGAGTGATTGGAGGGGAGACTTTGCTAATAGTTTTATAACATTCTATAAAAGTTTTGCAGTAATGCACACAGGGTCCATTACCAATTCACATTTTGTAATCTGCAGCTTCCTACAGCATACTAGTTCATGATTATAAAGACTACCTTTTCTCTCTGTGACTTAATTTTCATTTAGATTTCTGAGAGTAAACAGTATAATGTAGCAAAAATCTGGCAATCCCATTTTTACCTGAAGCAGCCCAGTAAGGGGCACTCCTATTACTGTTAGCGCCAATAGTGACATCTATTGGTGAGTTCAGAACAGTACTTTTTAGCCTCCACTAGTGTAAAATTGACACACTTGCACTGATTTAATTTTTTTCTTGCAGTGAAAAAAAACAATGTTTTTATGACATCAACTCTAGTGCAAAAGAATGTTGATATGAGCAGTGCAGAACAAGGTATGTAGCTTCTTTTTCAAGAACCTCAGAAATTTTGCATTTACTATCTATATTTTAATCTGCATATATGTATGTTTTGGTTATATGGAGGTAGGGCAGAATGATATAACATGAATGATAAAAACATTTGGTAATCCAGGCTCTGTGGTCAAAATAAAAACTTGTAGGGCAAAAACTAGACAGGGAGGGAGTGGTTGGTAATTTGATTAGTTAACATTAGTCCCTCATTTAATCATGATGCTAGAAAATAGCATGATATTAGTTAAAAGTAGGGAGAGAAGATGATTTTATTAAAAATATATTGACTCTTTAATTCTATTCTTTTAAGGTCCTATGAAACACTCAGAATATGTTCTAAGACCTGCTGTTTTGCAGCCACCTCAAGCTCAAAGCTGTGAAAATGTAAGAAAAACATTTTGGCACAGTGCAACAGAATCCTGCAAGATTAAAGAAAAAATAAAACACGAGGTAAGAAAAACCCCTATGGTACTACTGACCCCAATCCCTCATCTTTTTCTATAGAAGGTTGTTTTAGGGTCCCCACTTCCAACATTAGGGGCTACCTGAGATTTAAGAACTGCCACCCAGGCTGGACAGCAAAAAGCTCTTGGTAATCTTGTTAAATTTTGCCTCTTAAATTACAGTTGTTGCACTCTGGGAAGCTGAGGCAGGAGGATGACAAGTTCAAGTGCAGCCTGGGCAAAGTAATGATTTAAGGAGACTTTCAACTAAAGGACTAGGGAGGTAGCTCAGTGCTAGAGCCCTTGGTTCAATCCCCAGTAATGGGGAAAAAAAAGAGAATTGCTCCCTGGAACAAATCTTGTGGCTACTCCTAAGTGGTAAAGCTGAGTACTGGGCAGTGAAAACCTCTGAGACTTATTCCAGATAAGGGAGGGGGAACGTTTTGCCTCCCAGCTGTTCAACATTGTAGCGTGGCTTTGGCCATTTAGGTCACACCAGAGCTCCACTCCAGACCTATCTTCCTAGACACAGGGGCAGGGAACGCTCTACATGATATAACTGGGAGGGCCTAGGCAGCCTCTAAAGACAGACAAGAATTCTCCTTACTAATTAGTAAAGTGTGTGGATCATTCACCCTAAACTTTTCTAAGCAGATACTCATTTTGCTCAGGTGTTGTGGATATGGGTTCAGGCATCATTTGTTGCTGCATGCAGCTCTAGCTGTGCCTTCCAACAGAAACAGACACTTAGGAGGAATGGAGCATAAGATAGGTGCTGCAGTTGGAACTGGAGTTGTTATTCCATCAGCCATTTGTTTTCTGCCAAGCCTCCGAGGGTTGATCATCTGGTTTCATTTTGTTTGTTTTCCCTATTCTGAACATAAAGACAACACAAATGAAAAACATATCAGCCCTTTTGATTCAATTAAAAATCAGAATGAAACTTAACTCTACCTCTGTAACTGCCTATATTTATCCAAAGCACCTAACATTCTCTTTTTATCAATAAAATGAGGGAGATGAATTTGGCCAGCATTTACCAACACTTTTGTATTTCCAAATCCTTTCTTTGGTAAGCTATAAATTAATGAAACACATTATGATTTTAAAAAATCATTTAATTATGCATATTACATGATAAGTAATTTTAAAGTAGAATATATCTTTAATTTTGATCAATTAGTAGTAAAAGTTTGCATTAAAATATAATTTAAAAATTATCACCATGTCACATAAGTTATTACTTGTATCTGTTTAGGGAAAGGTATATGTTAATTTATTTTAAATTATGTAAGAAAAAGTATGATAAGTTGACTAATATAAAAAATATTATACTGCATTTGATTTGGAATAGCATCAAAATTTTGATTATATGTTTTGAAATCAAAATTAGATCAATATTTCTTTCTTGGCATGAATTTTATAAATCTTTAATTGCATACTTTAAAAATAAAATTTATTAATATGTTTCTTGCACTTGTTGACTAAATAACACTTGTTTTACAAGCATTTCCTCTTGAGTAATTTATATGTCTTAATGAGTAGACATTATTCCTGGACACTGAATAGCCCAACTGGATATTCCCATTATTGAATTTTCAAATTTATGAAAATTATTTGAAGATCTATAGACACTACATATAAAATTCTATGCAAGAATTTTTACCAAATGAATGTAATTTGCCCCTAGTGAAAATTATCCCTAGTTATATTTTGTAGAATCATTATTTTTGTTTCTTATTAATATATATGACTATCAGATGTTATTATTCATCCTGTTATTAGTCAGTGACCACTCATTGTGGATACATTAAATAATATATACCTAAAGAACTATGTTAAGCAACATAAGAGTAAATACTAACATTCTGGCAGAGAGATAAATTGAGTGACTGGGTCATGAATACGTACTTTGATCTTTGCTAACCACCCACATGTTCTCCTGGTACATATTTGTCAATTTTCAAATTCCTGTTATAAAAGAGAAAATACAAAAATTTATTTTTATTGATTGATAGAAAAATTTAAGTGGAAACAGATACCACCTGCCTTTAAAAACATGAACCCCCAGAACATCTTTGCAAATTGTTAAGATGGGGACAGAGAGGTGTCTACAAATTACCAGATAATTTATATGTCTCTTTCTGGTTCTAAAATTTCTTACTTTTACATTTATATATTAGTACAGGTAATGTGCATGCGTATATGCTTCTAAGACAGAACGACTCATTTATTAAGTGACTGGTAGAAATGTTGTGATGAAGAGATGAGTTTCTTCTCAAATTAGTGAAACAATTAGGGTATTTTCAAGGATTAAACAGCCTAACTAAACTAGAAATAAGAATTAACTTCATTTGGCTAAAAAGGTAAAAGTTACAAAAGACAACATCATTTCTGAATGTTATAGCAAAGTCTATAGCCCAGTGTCTGACAGACCTGTGTTTGAATTCAGCTGCATTCTGTTGTGTGTGACTTAAGGAAATTATTTAAGCTTTTTATGTCAGTTCATTCATCTGTAATATGTGGATGACAAAAATACAAAGTATGTGGAGTTGTGAGGAGTAAATGAGAAAATTTACATAAAAAGATCAGGCAATACTTGAATGTAGTGAGCTTTCAACATAACTATTGTTTCCTTGTCTGATGTTCCTAGAGTAAGGCAATTCTAATGAACTTTTCTGGTGGATTTCTTTTCTTTCAGATTTCTGAGGGGAGCTCCAATTTATTAAATGAAACTTCACCAACTTCCAGAATTTCAGTCCAACATTTTTTAGGTGCAACATTAGTAGGGTAAGTTAGTGTAGAGTCCATGTCCCATAAGCAAAATATTTGGGACTAGAACTGTTTCAGATTTTGGATTTTTTTCAAATTTTTAAAATACTTGAATATGCATAATAAAATAAATCTTTAAAAAATTCATTTATATTTCATATATTCCTTAGACACATAACCTAAAGGCAGTTTTACACAATATTTTTAATAAAACTTTGTTCATTTTGATGACTTGTCACATGAGGCTAGGAATTTTCCACTTGTGATATTATGTCAGTGCTCAAAAAGTTTTGGATTTTAGATTTCAGATTTTTGGATTACGGATGCTCAACCTTATGAGAAGGAAACAGAAATGTTTTCCTTTATTTTATTATTATAAACATTCTTGGAAAATAATTTTCTGACATTGTATGGAATTGAGAAGAATTCCATTTGAAAGGACTTTCTTTTGTAACCTCCTTTTTCATTAGAATATATTTGCATTGCAATTACATTCATCTTGGGGAATTGTTACATATAGTATCACATCTTAATCATTTTTACTTCCTCTTCCCCTCCCAGCCTTTCATCTCCACCCATTCCCAGATCCCCTTCCCATTCCTAAATGGCTACTTCTCTATTTTCTATCAACTATCTTTTATTTTGCACTTTATTTATATTTGGGGTTTCTCATACAAGAAAAAGTATGCGATTTTAACTTTCTGTTTTATTTATTTAGCATTGTGCTCACAAGGTGCATCCATTTTTCCACAAATGACTCAAGTTTATCCTTCTTTATGGCTGAGTAGTAATCCATTGTGTACATATATCACATTTTTTATCTGTTCACCTGGTGGTAGGCATGTAGGGTATTTCTGAGACTTAGCTGTTATGAGTTGTGCTGCTATAAACATGGGTATACATGTAGTATGTCTTTAACTCTTTGGAGAAGATATCCAGAAGAGGTAGAGACAGCATCTTGCTGTGTTACTCAGGCTGTTCCTGAGCTGTTGAGCTTCGATGTGTCTGAGTGCCCTCTACAGTCCTCCTCCTTCAGTCTCCTGAATGCTGGGATTACAGGCCTGTATCATCACACTAGTCTTGAAAGAACATTTTATAAGAATACAAGTTTAAAATGCTTTTCAAAATCTCTCCAATGTTTCAAATATCACATTAGTATTGGGTTGGCTTTACCATCTCATTGATTTGGGTTACAATGTTTCAAAGGGTATGATGAATCTTTAGTTGGGCATTAATGATCTGCTCATTAGATTAGTTTTTTCTCCTCTTTCTCTGACATTTTTCCCTCTTTTATATTATTTTTTATCTATTATTTATTGACATAAGCTGTATAGACATAATGAAAAGTAATATAAATCTACAAGATAAAAAGTTAACCCAGACATGATGGTGCATGCCTGTAGTTCCAACACTTGGGAAGCTGAACAGTTGGGTAAAAAATTCAAGTCCTATCTAGGCCACTTAGCCAGTTCCTGTCTCAAAATAAAACTAAAAAGGGCAAGTGCAAAGTCTCTGGGTTCAATTTTTAGTATAGCAAATTTTAAAAAAGTAATTTCTTAGTGATTAATATTAATATTTCTGGTGATTCTCTGTTTGATCAGAGAGAACATTAAGACTAGCTTTGGACATACAGTGAGTTATAGGAGTAGGCTCCATCAGTAGCACTGGCCTACTGTGCATATTAGAGATGCAATGGAGAACCCTAAGCACACGAAGAGAGGGTTGCCTGTTTTCAAGGTTCTCATTATGGAAAATCACCATTTTTTAAAAAAAGTTTCTGGCAGGAAAAATATTAAATTAATGCACACTCAGTTATAATTGAGGAGATAGATCAGCTTTGCTTTTGTCCTGATGATCTCTGATTGGTAAAAGCATCATCAGCCACTTGGGGCAGAGAAGAAGGCAAACAGTGGGAGAGACTGTGCTGGAAAAGCAGAAAGGCAAGAATGGGGCAGCCCTCCAAGCCGATCACACAGTCAGCATAGACATGGGCACAAAATGGTTTGCATGAGGCAATGCCAATGCTCTAGCAGTTGGCAAATATTTTGAATATCACCTCTGGAAGTACCTATCTCATTTTTTCCTTCATTTCTCATTAACTTCAGACAGCAAAAAATGCAGCAGATGTTTATGTTTCATATAAATCCATTAAATCATTTGATTATTTTTGACTGCTAATGCTTAAAATGGTTTATCTATATATCTAAAATAGCAAATGCTTATTTCTTTTTCTCAGATGTCAACCAAATGAAGATAAGTGTTCCAGTAAAAGTTGCAGTTATGACTTTGTTTTTGGAGAAAACATGGTAGAAAGAGTTTTGGTAAGATTTTGGTAAATATTTCTGATAGAGCTGTCACATCAAATTTCTGAAGGCAAATTAATTAAAAGCAGTCTTGAATTACAGGATACTTTTAAACTTCTGGATTCAAAGGCACAGTCTCATTCTTTAACTGGAAAGATTCTCCTGGGAAGCATGTCCCATTTTGTTAGAATAAGAGAAACCCAGAGAGGAAGGGAACTGCATAATTATACCATTATTACTGATGTGAAAAATTAAATAGTTGAGTCATGTTAAAGCAGAGGTACCTGAGGAAATCCAGCATTATCTGCAGTAATTAGATAAGCTCAACTGGTAGTGACATTTTAATATAGTTTTTAATAACATTTTATAACAAGATGCATTCAAAGTCATCTACCAATGTATTCTAATTAATTACAACTCCATCCTTCAAGCTCTTACATCAAAAAACATTATTATAACTTCTTTTGGTAGCTTTAAGGGGAAAATCACAGTGCTTTGTTTACCTAGGGGAATATACTTAACAAGTGAAAATCCCTAACTACTATTACTATCATCCTTATTTAATACTGAGCATTTCCCTGCACAAGGCAGCTGCTGCTCAGCCTTCTGCAGAGCTCTGATTTCTAAGACAGCATAATCTAAGAAGTGAGGAACCGTGAAAGCTGTGGAGCAACTGTGCCTCTGATTACATCTGTCCCTCACAGCTCCATGCTTCTTTCAGCTTTTATTCAGACCAGGATCATGGTAGCAATATGCCCAAGGTAGCTGCTTGTCTTAGAGTTACTAGTTACATGAGGAACTCTAAGGAAGCTGCAGAGCTTTATACATGTGTAAAGGCTCAGATTAATAAAAGGGCTAATTTACAATGTCAGTTTATTCCAAGATTATTAATGTAAATCTGTCATTTTTAAGACCTTGCTTATTCTAGACCTGCCTCAGGCTACCTCTCAATTCCAATAAGTAGTATTGTAGCTTTTTACCTTTAAAGACACCTTTCTGTCATTCCCAAGAAATCTAATCCTAGAGTTGTTGACTCTCATCTTCGGACCTGAGTCAGAATGTATGAAGCCCCAGGGTGACATTCCATGCAATATCTAGGCCCCTTTTTTTGTGTCATTTAAGTTTGACACTAGCTACTGCTTCTGTAAGATTATCAGAAATAATTAAAATGCTTTCCAATCCTCACAGGATCAACTTGAACACTCAACTCAATTCACCAAACATGTATTGAGTTCCCATGATACATAAAGCACTGGTCTCATGTTTCACTGCATATTAGAACCATCTGGTGAGCCGTTAAAGAATTTCTTATGCCTGGGTCTCACCCTAAAGTAGTTATGTCAGAATATCTGTAGGTAAGTCCAGTCATCAAGTGATTAATGTATAGTCAGGTTTGAAATTACCTGGGTAAGTGGTCATATAAAGGTAAAGGACACCCACATTCTAGCGGGATATATAACACAATAAGAGGAGACAGACAGATAACTATCCCAATGAGCTTCAGCCAGGACTACAGAGGTTTGGTGTGAAGGCACTTGAGCACATTTACTATGAGGATTTTAAATTTGGTTTATAAAAGGACCTGAATTTCATATCTCTTTCAGTAAGCAATAAAATAAGGGATAACATGAACTATGGAGATAATTTGTATGTTTCCTCTATAATTTTGTAAACCACTTGCCCTGAAATATGGGTGCCAAGATGCACTTCTGGTTACTGGTTGACCATGTGCTTTTAGAGTGAATTTTAGAGCCTGAGTTTCTATTTTCTTAAAATGAAAATAATTATACTTATCTCTACCAATTTTAAGCGGATATCTTGATGTCTGATTAAATAATTCAAAAGACTCTTGAATTCATAAAGGAAAAGATATAAACAAAAATATAAAAGTATCAT